AGCGGGCGGGTCGGTCAGGACTGGCCTGTATGTGGCCTTGAATAAGGCAAATAAAAGGCGAAATTGAAAACCAGTCTAGAGGCGATAGGAACCTAGATGCGGTCGGTTACACTCATCCGAGTCCATCCGAAGAAGGGGCAAGGGAGATGCGACCAGACTACTAGTATATGGCGAATACAGAAGGTTTCTCAAAGAGCGTCGATGGAGCGCATTATGTGAGGGCACGATGAAAAGCAGTCTCGAGGCGATAGGAACCCACAAGCGGTCGGTTACATTCATCCGAGTCCATCCGAGGATGGGGCAAGGGAGATACGACCAGACTACTAGTATATGGCGAATACAGAAGGTTTCGCCAAGAGCATCGATGGAGCGCATTCTGTGAGGGCACGATGCATGAACTGAAAAATTGGAAAAATTAACATTTCTGGTAAGGGATCTTAGGAAGCGAGACTACTCACAAAGGAAGGAAATGTGAACAGATACGGAAATTTAAAGGCGGCATACTAAAGTCCCGGTGGCCCTTTTTCAGTGTCATAGAAAAAGTTGTCTGAGAAGGATGAGGAAAATTAAAGTTTAATTGACTCGGTATTCAGATAAAGGCGTAGCCTTCTCTTAAAGGTGTGTAGATTATCTGGAGATCTTATATTTATTGGAATGTTATTCCAGAGGAAAGTATACCTGGAAGCGAAAAAAGGGAGCACTTAGAGGTGGAAGACGCTGGAGGAGGTATAATCAAGGACGAGTTGCGAAGATTGTATGGGCGACTACTAGGGATGAGTGCTGAAATCCGAGGAAAATGTGAACTATGATAAATGCGAAAGAGGAGACAGAAGCCCGCTTCTAGTCTTCGAACCCATAAAATTTTTAGGTTAATTAGCTGGTATCTATATGAGTAGGAGATATTGAGATGTTCCTTATCTAAACGCTTTTTAGAAAAACGTCTTTGGACATTTTCAATTTTTAAACGACTAGCCTCATTCATCAAACCAAAGAATGGGCAACAATACTCGAAAATGGGAAGTACAAACATTCGTTAGAGTCCTAATTTAATTTCAGGAAGATAAAAATTGAAGGGAATAAAGCCACAAATCCAGGCAGCTTTGGCTGTAATTCTGTCAGCGTGTGGCGAGAGATCAAGCTTACTAGTGTACCTTAAACCTAAATCCTTGATAGAGGTACATTCAGTCATAGGTGGGCCTTGAAAGACCACTGGTTGGGGTAGCCTCTCATGTCCAAAACACATATAGAGACATTTAGACGGAGAGAATTCCATTAGCCATTTTGAGCTCCAAGCTGAGAGATCAAGCAAGTCAGCATGGATTTGCTCCAGGCAATGAAGGCTCGTAGATTTTTTGAAAGAATACACACATTTGAGATCATCGGAATAAACAAATGATTGAGAATGTTAAACTGCTGCCGAAATGTCATTTATGTAAAGCAAGAACAAAACAGAACCTAAAACGATACCTTGTAAGACACCACTTACAATACGGCTTTCACAGGAAAGTGAAGATCCCACTAAAACCTTTTGTTTACGATTAGACAGTTATGACCTGAGAAAGTCTATTAGTGGACTGCGAATTCCCATAGCTTCCAATTTAACCAAGAGTGTTTTATGTGGTACTTTATCAAAGGCTTTACTAAGATCAAAATAAATGACGACAACAGATAGATGGTCATTACGAAGAGAGGTTAGTAGATTGAGAATCGACACATGACATGCTTTAACAAGAGCGATCTGGTAAAAAAACCATGCTAGGAAGGGCTAATAACTTGATTGCTATGCAAAAGTGGGCAATTTTTACGGCGATAATTTTTTCAAAGATTTTGTCGAGAGAGGGTGTTTTATGGACACCTTGATATGACATGATCCAAAAGAGCAATCTGGTGCAAAGCCATGTTGGGAAGAGTTATTTACTTGGTTGGCTATACAACGTCGGTTGCATGGCGATACTTGTTTCGAAGATTTTGACGAGAGATGGTGTTTTGTAGACACCTCGATAGTTTTGAACATCAGAACGACAGCCAGATTTAAATACTGGAATAATAATAATAATAATAATAATAATAATAGAAACTTTCCAATAGTCAGGAAAGGAGCTATTTTCGAGAAAGACTGAAAAGAGTTTGCTAAATACAGAAGCAAAATTCCTTGACTGCTTTATAAGAGAGTTTGGTATATTGTCAGTTGCTACTGAGCGCGTGTTAGTAAGTTGGTTTATCAGTTTTCGTATAGTTGCCGGAGTAAAACGAACGGTTGTGAGTGGTTACATAAGATAACGAAGGAATTTAAGTGATAGGATCGGTCTCAATGGGGAATTATTTGGCAAAGAATAAATTTAACATTTCTGCTTTGTCATGGCTTACTGAAGCCAATTCTACTAACAAGTGTCGGGAACTTCCCCCTCCATATTCAGAGCTGACACTTCACCTAGGCGGAGTAATTAGCCACTTGAGTAGCGCACAGGTGAACATTGTTCCCAGCGCCAGGGTCGGTGGCTCAAATGGTCGAGCAGTCCTCACACCAACATCTAACACCTGTGATGAAATTGCAGCGATTGACAACGCGAACGTCGGCCATCGGACAGTCATCATGCCAAGTGCAGCAATTCCCCATTAAGGCGGGAGCCGTGAATTTTCACAGGTATGCGGTAGCATGGTTACTGCATCCTTCAAATACTACAGTCCCTTGTGTGTGAACTAGCCGTATCTGATAAGGTCACTGGGGATGCGTTCCTGCAGAAATCCGAAACGTCAGGCGAATAAAGTTACTGTCCCAAAGGCTAGCGTGTTCTAATCTTTCCCCCTTATTACAAGCAGCAAGGAAGTGACCTTACCCTTCTACTTAGTATAATATGTGGCCTTAATTATGGACTTTGTTTTGGGGAAATCTCGATGGCATCACTCGACTCATCTTCGTGGGCACTCAGTGAAGATACGCATAAATATATTCAGGATGAACTTCTACAGCAATTCTTCACTAAGTAGGTTATTTGACACTGGAACAATCCCACCGAACCGGTTGTGAAGGCGACGTGCCTATAGCTCTTATGGAAACTCTTGGATGAATTCGTGTTTCCCAGACGGCCTAAACCCGAAATGACTACTACATCGACTTAAGACAGGAGATTGTCCAGAAAGGATGCTACCAGAATTGAGTAAAGACTCTATTCTTAGTGACGACATTTGAAACGTGTGCACAGCTGTATATGGCTAACGGGCATATAAACAATAGGGTTTTTAAATGCTTTGATTATTGGCCTCACTAAGTAAACCGAAATTGAAACCACGCAGTCTCCGCCAACATACATATCAAACTCGCGCTAGCACCACATCAGTCATCGCAGGCACCGAATAGGCACCGCCCAATAAACTGGGAAGCGTGACCTACGACTCCGAGTGACCGACTGATAGACTGAAAATCAGGCTCGGTGGCACCTATTAAACCGGAGCTTAATGACTATCTCGAACATGTGGGATCACGGCCGCCCAAAAATTCTTGTGTCGGAACTTGGTGTGTTGTTTCGGAATCAGGACGCATGTGGCACTCGCGGACTGAGCATTTAGTTCTGTCAACCAGTGTGTCAGTACCGACATCAGGTGACTGACCGTCTCGTACAATGGACCGGTGCCTTGGAAAACGAAGAGCGACTGAGGTCAACTCTGGGAACTCAGTCCCTAAAGCAGTCAAAGCCCACTTCTCGTTTGAATCTATGACGGTGCGCTAAAGACTTGATAGAAGGCTTCTAGTTGACGGGACAACTGGGTTCTCCACACAGGACGGAGAGTCAGGTTGCAATGACTCTTTTTTAATATGGCCTCTATGGCGCTCTCACTATTTTGGGATCCCAGCCGTCCCCCTTTTTGTTGGCCCGGTCCATTGTACCCTAACCAGGTGTGCGTGACGCGCGGTGACGCGCGGTGACGTGCTGTTTTGTTGTGCCAGTTAATTCGCGCGATCCCATCTCCGGTATTCCTGACACTGCCATAACATCGTGCTCAAGTGTGTAAGGTAGAAGGGACTGGGATAGATTTATTTCAAATGTACTTTCGCTAAAGATTAATTTGAGTGCAAATCACTGTCATTCCGCATACTCTGCTGTGGAGCACACGCAGAAATCTTCGGAATCGGCGAGTGAAGTGTCATGAATAGCACTGGACGAAGAAACAATAATAATTAATAAATAGTAATCATTATTATTTTTATCAAAGACCCGTCGGGGTCCCATCAAAGCACCACTTTACGAAGCGGAAACAGCGTCCAACTAGGATATACTAGACACAGGCCAGCACAGTCCTATAAAAACAACGTCTTTTAGCTGCTTTCCATTGTTGAAAGAAATGATCGTCCATTCCCGACGGAGACTAACGTCTTTGGAAGCAAAACCTGCTGCTACCATGCACCACCTTGCTCTCTTAAACCTTCCGTAATATATGACAAGGAGATTTTGGAAAACACCAACAATCACGCATCTAGAACTAATCACTCACTTAGGATTGTAGACCGAAAGTCGGGCTGTAAATATACTGACCGCCTATGCTACCGAAGAGGGTAGAAACGCACATATCTCTTAGAAACATAGAAGCGTGGGAACTGAGTAGACTGCAATGGTCATTGCTGTTTTCCGGCAGAGTCGCGCATGAAGTCTACATAAACACCTAAGAAGGCACTCTAAGTCTTCAGTGAACGAAGCAGTTCTGCAGCAAATTTGTAGAAATTCGGAGACACTTGGACGGGTTGTAAGAAAAAGACAAATTCGTCCACATAAGCAGGTGGGATATGAAAGACCCTGGTCCTTTTCTGAATTCAGTAAAATCTGTGCACTGTAAGCTAGCATAAACAAAGCAAACAGGCACCTGGCTAGCTTGTCTTCTAGGTTGCCAATCATCATTAACTCGAACCAGACTCTGAACCCCACTGAGTTTCGTTCTCTCTTGCCGCGAACTTTGAAAGCTTCGGAGAAAGCTTTGTTGGTCGCAACCGGGCTGGGTTGGGCGTAATGGACAGTCCGAAGTCTCTTTTAAGTGATGTTGTCAAGCCTGATGTTGACGAAAAGTTAGTTTAATACTTCATTTCCGTCCTTTGTTCGGCCGCCAGCCGACCTGAATATTCTTGCTTGACCACTTTCTTATGTTGATTTTTATCTGCCTCTGTTGAGGCACATTTCTGTCACAGGTACTTCTGCACTTTTCATTTTCCGCCTTTGCTGAAAGGTAATGCTACGTATTATTGGCAGGGCGTGTTACTATGCCCTGCTGTTTTAATTATTATTCTTCATGGGTCGTCATTCATAACTGTTGGTCGTTTTTCCACGGCCACACGCAATTGTGAAAATGTAGCTTATCTAACTATTCAGGAGTGTTGGACGCCGTCGCTCTTTGCTGACCCACTCCCATCGCCGCACTCCTGATTAAAATGGTGTTTTGAAATGCTATACGCTCCATCTTCGGTATGTCTTGCCCCGTGTTCCACGCGACTTCGACGCCCGCGTATATTTACTACGCAGCCTTCCTTGTTGATCTACACCCAATGTACAATACACACTTTAATTTAGGATACTTAACAAATGGTCTCGGGCTAATATGTTTGCATCCCCCATGAAATCGTGGGTAACTGCATGTATGGACGTTAGGCATCATTTGCATCGAACGTTTTCAAATATCTCGGCTGCGAGGTTTAATTTGAGATCAAAGTTATAGCTGCGGCCTGCCTTCTGCTTCCGCCAACGAACATTTAAATTGTGTAAATTCTTCAGGTAACGTTGTTTCGTTCAGTGACGCCTTTACTTGCGTCTCCGTTGTCGAACCCTACGGCATTCTCATCAGCAATGTCGTTAATGCATACGGGTGCGCGTCCGCCGTTTACACTTATTCGCTGCCCAGCTGACGCACGATGCCGTCGCTTGATTAACACTGCACGCGCTTGTACAAGACTTATCAATGTACGCTGTTATAGGCGCATGTGCTCGCCTTACAAGCATCTGCGTGCTGACGACGACTTCAGCACGTTCGGCCCGTGTCATTGCCGTTACGATTCGCTGGTCCTCGCAAAAGATTTGATCTTTTGTCCCCCGTAGATTGTTCTCTAGTATTATTACTTATCTTGCATTAGTGCACTTCTTAGGCTGGAAGACCTCCGCCGCCCTCATTTTGAAATTGTATCTTACCTGTCGCAGGGTCCGCAACTAGCATACTTTCTTACCTCTGAGTGCTTTATCTGTGTGGTAATTGCGAGACTATTTATTATCGGTCGTAACTACCTTTTTTTCGAAAAATTGTTTGATCTGATTATGTTTTCGACTTGTGAAACATTACATTTCCCTCTAAATGTACGTTTCTCAAGCATCATAAAAGATATCTTATCCCTTCATGTCTCTACAACGTGTTCACCAGTGCTTTTAGTCAACAGTCTACTGAAAAAGTGCTAAACGAATATTTCCAGCCCATTTTCCGCACCATATTTCCATGTATAATTTGTTTGCACCTACTTTTCTCTCCTTAGGGACTCGGATGTAGTTCGACTTTCTGAGTTTGCCAGTGTTTGCAGTTTCATCTGCTGCTTCGGCGAACAGTTGGGAGTTTTTCTTACAATACCACGAATAGGTGATATTTTATCCTGCAAAACCCCAAGTAAGTGGCTGCTTATTACCCCGACAATTTCATGGAATTTTGACATCAGCTTGTTTTGTTATTGTGAACCCCCTTCTACGGATTTTCCTTATTAGAGCCCCGTAGAAGTTATGTTCCTAATCGCATAAGTCGTTGTGTTTATGCCTTCTAGTCGTTCTATTTAATGCTTTCATTACCAAGGGGTTTAATTAATTAAGTCCTGGTGAAGAATCTGTTTTTACTTGGACCTTTCATAAACACGCGGCTGCACGAATTTTGGCCACCTTTCTAGACCAGTAGATTGTTAGATTATTAACTTCTTCCTGAATTAAATGCACGCACCAGGCAGTTAAGCACAGATTACGACAGTCTTGTACCTCAGCCCATCATTGTGCTTTCTGAAATCTCTTGGTCTGTAGCCATATCCACAGGGGTAGAATCGGACGACTGGTACCTATATCGCTTCTGGAGCCCCTTGTAATTAACCTCTGTTCCCTTTTTACTGACCGTCTCAATGTATTCCTATGTCGTCGGGTCACTTGAAACTTTGTCCAACAATCCCTGAATCATCTTCGACCGCAGTGTATTTACTCCAATCCTCTCTGTTTTGTTCAGGTGACACGGAGGTTTTAAGTACGCTCGTGGTCAAACTTCTCAATAAGGCTCGTTTTTGGACAAGATCCGACCGCTGGCAGTCGTCCCTTTGTAGGTTAATTCGGACTCTGGCATACAACGATCCAGAAATGATGGCAGTCAGTGAATCTCTAACCATTCAACAGCATCAGGATACTGTTGGGCTTCCGAAGCCAAAGTCATCAGCTTCCGCCAATGAGGATTGCTCCTTTCCCCTCGTGCCCCTTAATTTACGTGTTAAGCTCTTCCTCTTCCTCCTTGAGAGTCAGTTTGAAAGGAATCCGTCTTTTAAGGAAAAAGTCAAAGCAATTTCTCCGCAAACTCTCCGTCTTCAGTGTATCGGCTGTGATGTATGGGGCAACTCTTACTGGCTGTTCGTCGATGCTGAGTATAACTTCTTGTTTTACCGCGAACCTCCCACAGACGGTTTGCTTGAGGCAAGTTGACGCGTTTAAACTCCCCTTATTCCGAAATTAATTGACTCACGTCTGCCATGTTTTGTTCCGCACATTTAAGAGAACATAGGTTTACGTCTTTGAACCCTATCAAGTTTTGGCATGCATTTGTTCATCTCTTTTAGGCAACCCAAACATACGTGTAATTCCTCTTCTTAAGTTGTTTGATACAGATTCTTTTGATCCATTCACAACTACAAACTCGCCTCTCCTGAGATCCGCCGTATCATTTATAGTGGCCTCCTGTCGAGGCTGGTTTTTCAGTTTGTTCCTGGCTCTACCACTGGCCGAATGTCACATTCCTGCGAGTCTCATAGCCACTATCATCCCACCCATGCTTGTAGTATCTTCCAAGTCACCCATTAGTTCTTTTTGTTTCATAGTCTGTTTCTTGATTTCGATGTAATTATTCACTTGTTCTCAGTGAGGCATGGAAAATCCTTCTGATATTTCATCAATAGTGTCGTCTCTCGGTGCCTTTTCTTTTAACTTATATATCCAGTTCGCCGATTCTGTGGGAACCTAGAAAACTTTATAAACACCTTTTATGCTATTGTACGGAAGGTAGGTCGATACGCATAAATCGGCCACTTCGTACTGCTTTGCTGAGCTGGTTCATCCGCCATAAAAGAAATGCAGTTAGTCTCGACCGTACCTTCTCCCGCGAGTCGTTGTACAAACGCCAAGGCTAGTCACATGCAAGATGCTTTCACACCTCTTGCTGGAGGAAAATTTCATTTAGTGTTCATACGCGGGATTCCTGGACACTCACCTATGAAAACGCTTATTGCCAAGTTTTCGTCTTAAGTTAGTGATAATCAGTCTTGTCATTATTTAACTTGTCGATGTTAGTACGTACATTTTTCATTTTTTGTGTGACCGACCTCACCTTCATCTCCATAATCGTAATGTTGTGTTCGAAGTATTTGTCCTCGGCCCTCGTGGCAGTTTAAGTCATTGGACGTCTTTTTTCTACAGTAATCAAATTTTTGTCCCAAAATACTCCGAATTCAATGGCTAAAAAGACAAATGGAAATAGTTTAAGCAAAAAAGGAAGGCTTAGAATACCTAGCAACAGTAACAGCAACAATCAACGAGGACCCCAGTTTCTATGTCTTTGTCTTATGACACTTCTGAATTTTTCCAGGGGTAGTATAACTGACTGTCGGCAGGCTGAGTTGCAGTAGAACGTGTGGCAGCAGCCTCGACAGTTCGAACAAGATATCTTTGCAGCTGTTCCGTTAGAATAAGCGGGGTGAGCGGTATCCTCGAGAATTCAGTCGCGAAGTTCCTGACTGTTATAAAGTACTTGCGTTGATACTTCTGACTCGTGGCAGTTTTCTGGAATTTTTTTTTTCCCAGCAATGAAACCGGCCAATATTTAACATTCATTCGCAGTTTTAGAAATTCCTCCGTCAATCTTGGTTTGACTTTCCATCCTCCTCTAAAACCATGATTTTCATAGGTCTGGTGATGGGTGAAGTGTTCCAATGGTCAAAGCAGTGTCTGATATTTCACTGTCATATTACTACATCTTCATCTGGAGAATGTGTGGTCTGGTAGCGCGCTCTGTCGTTTTTATGCCCGAGTTCCTCTTTGAATCAAGTAATTTCGTGCCTAAACCAGTTTATTTTCGAATGCCGTTTTGTGACCTCCAGAAAAGCTTAGTCTGCTCGTCCTATTTTTCCCCTTTAGTTCATATCGAACTGCCCAGCAACCCTCCAGAAGTTCCTGGATGAACTTGCGCAAAAGCCTATTCATGATAAGTCGTTCTCTGACCTGTATGCCGAGTACGATGCAGAAAAGCTTGCGAAGCCAGACTCAACCCTTAATCTCAGACAACAATCTTCCAGTCCCGCTTCAGTCAAGTTGGACCCAGTGTCGGAACTCTCAACGGACAACCAACTGCACCTCAAAAAGGAATCCCCCGATTCTGTATCGACGAGAGATGTTGATAAGTTGGACTCCTCAAACCCACCATCTCCTGAGGGGATAACCAGTAAGGAGGATCCTTTACCTTGCGTTCAGTCCCCTCCTCCGCATTCACTGTCCGCAAGCCATCCGTCAGACGTTACGGAGACTTCCGAACAGGTAGAAGAGGAAGAGTGCAAAGTCGATTTGCCGATTGCCTCCTTGAACGGCTGTCTAAACTCAGAGGCAGTCCCCTCAGCTACAGAAAACCACAGATCTCCGTTAGCCCTGACGCCGTCGAACTGCAATTCGTAAGTGCTAGGGCATGGTCCATGCTGTAGTTAGTTATTATTGGACTCGATCATGCTAGTTTTATTTCACAAATGTCAGGAGTGACTAGCTTCTCAATTAGATCCTAGAATCCCCCTCCTGTTTTTTTCTTTTCTTATGCAAGACTTTAGTTTATTGCGTCGAAGAACAAATCGATATACAAGCAACGGTATAAATTATCAAGTTTGTTCGGGCTTATAAACTTAAGTACTAGATAAAACTGACGAGACTGAAATTGTTGCTTACCCCAACTGACCCGACATCTTTCGATGTTTTTATTCACTGATTGTCACCGTCTCCAACTCAGTAGCTGCAGTTGTGCAGACATCACTGCGTGTCATGAGTGAAATCCTCCACTATTTTACGACGACCAAATGCAGACTTTTCGGCTTTTTGACGCTTTTTTCTTGACCCCTGGCACTACGAACGTTGAATAGGTCCAAACTCCCATGGCCTCGTATTCATGTATTGGTGAGTCTGTGCCACGCGTTAATGATATTAGCCCATTACCCACTCAGGTATTTGACGCCAAGACCTTACCATGACGATTACAGTGTAGCAAGTAGTGAATGGCAGTAAAGTCAGTTGTAAACCACCAGATTTGCTGCCCGCAGGATTGGCGATGCTTCATAATACGTCGAAATGCAAATTAAGCGCCATCGCCTGGTTACCGCTACGGCTCGTTTGCTTTCTGCGCGCGAGATTTTTCTAACCTCTTCAGCAAGGCAACACTGAAAATCTTGACCCATATGCCAGACTGTCGACGCAGCACTAGCATCGGGAAGTCCTGTTCCCACTGTTTGAGATGGGGCACCTATGCCAGGTCTTTCCTTGATGTGCTGGATGATTTATTGCGGCGGAGAGCAATCTCCAACGTTCAGGTTTAGGGCACCTGCCAAAAATCCATCGTCGACGAATGAGCTTGTTATTGGCCCAGCCCTCGGCTGTCTTATGCCATAATTTTAGAGGCCGGTGGTGTGGGCCGGAATTTACACGTATGCAACGGAAACGTTGCATAACTTACCCCTCAGTCAGCTTGCCACTGACAAATTTTCAGACTGAAGTACAGACGTGCACCCTCCGAAGTACGACACCGGAAGCGTTGTACTGTCCTGACCTTCGGGATGTCCATCTGAGGTAACTCTCGTCAGCGCGACCAATCCAGAGGCCGACAGCTGTTCCTGTAGCCGTGTGTTTAAAAACACACAGTTCCTGTCTTTAGGGGGTTGTAAGTCCTTCACCCTCCCGCCCTCCTTCGGCCTTGTCTTTAAGATTATTCACCAGCCGTCGTAACGCCACCAGTACTTTCTTCGGGTGTGGACTTATTTATGGGTTTTGCGAACTCAGATTCAAGTACATGTCTCAACGGTCACTTGGTCCTTACGTGATGTGTCGTAGTTGGTGAAGAATTTAAAGTTTACTTTTTTCCTTGAATGAGCAACACATAATTGGAGGCCCGATCAGTAAACGCAACCCATCACCGGTACGTCTTTTGCCGCCCCCTCCATTGTAAATGATGCGGTTCGTATCGAGGGATATTCGTTGTCAGCCAGAGTCACATGTAAATTTCGGATTTACTCGATTGAGGGCGCGCAACCCTACTATTTTTCACCGAATAATTTATGATAGACACGTTCAGGTCGTGACAGGAAATCCTAGATGTTCTAATTAGTTTGTTCGCCCCTCCCCCACTACAGAACCTGCGAGGACCATTCTTGTGATCGCAGATGTAACGGGCTAAATTGGGATTATTTCGGTAACATTTGACCAATGCTCCCAATAATCTTTATACTGGTACCGATCCAAGCTTAAGTTTACAAATTCATGCCGCGAAAGAATTATCTGTTCTTGCGCGAAGGTATTCGCTGATTTCTCCGAGAATTTCTTCAGCCTGACTGGTTGGGCGTTTTTGGAGTTAGGAAAACCACTGACGGACATGCGTCTTTTAGCATTCATCTGGACAGACTGCCGCAACTCCGCACACGCTACATTAGCAAGTCTCGTCCCTTCCTCAAAAAGCTGATAATTAATTGTTCAGTCGCGAAACTGTTCCTTCGAAGATCTTTTGATTTGTCCAACACCTCGACTGGTGATGATTGTCCTCTTGATAGGTCTGGGCGATCTTGAATTTTGCTCGCCCCAAGATTGTTTTAAGACTGTCTGGCTGCCCGTAAAAATGTCCAGCCTGTCGTTCAAGGTAGAATGCATTTCAACTTTTGCTTTGGACAATGGACCTCCCGCGAGACGACCTGTGTGTTTTATCTAGAAACCTTACCGATTTCAGTGTAGGGACCACAATTACTTGAAGTTCTGTGTACATGGGGATGTCCGACTTCCTGTAGTGTTTTTTTCCAAAACTCGCCGCAACTGTTCCGCTGAGGTTTTAACCTCAGTAAGCTTGTTCGCTCTAACGTAATCAGGTAAAATGAACAACAAGGGTTGTTCAGTGATATGAGAACATGCATTTACGGGTAAGATTGTAAGTAGCAGTTGGAAGGAGAGGGGATCAACGATAGGGAAATAAGGAGGCGGAAAAGCTAGATGGGGGGGGGGCGGTAGAACACAACGAGCATCAACCTGCACATGAGATTGCCACCACACTATCCGGTGTAGGAAGATGAGAGTTCCTCACATCTGGTTTCGGTGTAACACCATGTCCTTAGGTTTCATCAAACGATGACGGATTGTTTCGATGGGCTATGCCTACTCTGGTGAGTTCTAATAGTCCAAAGACCGCTCCAGAGGCTGCTTCAATGTAGGGAGTGGCCCTACAGATTTTGGATTGCCGCTCTTTTAGCCGTCTCCTACCCACTCGGTATCCACTTTGCCCGTTAAAATGGCTTGCTTGTCCATTGATCCTGTAGAGCTTGTTAGGGTATATTCGTTCAGCATTCTTATCGGCTAACGTGCTGTAGTGTGTTTCATCTCTTCAAAATAGAGTGCAGGTACAGCATGGTTTGTGAGACGGATGGTGATTGCTGTTGAAATGTGTATTCGTCTTGTCCTGACGACTTTCCCAAATACATCGGCTGCACTTCCCCAGTCGCACACCGACGTGGGAGGACGTCGAGGAAGGTAATTTGGTTGAACCCCGCATTCACCGTCCCCTATGCCGAAGTCAGAGGCTACAGGGGGTGGTCTGATTGGCCCGCTAGCCGTATGAAATCAGCGCGTAACTGCAGTAGACGATCTGGATTATCCGAAGGTGTCGGGACCAAGTGCATCACCAAATCTTCTTTGCTTGGACGAAAGTTTAACTCTCACATCTCCCGCCACGATAATAACACCGAAACGTTCGCATTATGTCTTAGGCTGACACTACTTCCCGAAAGTGATCCCTCGCTTAATGCGATTTGGCCCTAGGGACGTGCATAGCGGTTATAAACCAAAGGCGTCTGGATTCTCGGTTTATGCGCTGTTGCCACTAAAATGCACCGTTCACCGGAATTTAACCTGTTCACTCCTGGTATGTAAAACGGCTGAGGGTTATTTGTGCCTCTGGCCATTAACTATCCTCCGGAGGAATCTAGTTAAGGAGCTCTAGGGATCGCTGCAAACATACACTGTATGTAAGTTACCTTCTCATCTGTGGAGATCACAAGCGAGGGCAGTTTACCGACCGACGTGGTAGAGGTTACGTCTGTCGATTGGCTACCTATATCTTCGGGTCAAGCAGTTCTTGGTCGTTGCTCAAGGAACACGATGAGTGGCTGTTTTTGTTTTAGAAGGATGAGCGCTTAAAAATGAGCTCGGTGAACACACAGGGCTGGGTGGTATGCCATTGCTTCCCATCCACATTCTGCAGCCATAATAGGCAGTAGGCCTAACCAGTCTGCGTTGTGGAAAAAATAGAGTTGGTGTAGGCTCATTCTCCTCACTTATCTTCGTTCCTCGCCTTTCCCTTACAGAGCTGACATACCGATCAATAACACCTGCGAATCACTCGAACCGTCGGAGGGCACAGGGAATGTGAAGGTTACTCACAAATCTAAGAGGAAGTCAGCACTGGAAGCTGATATCAGCGCGCAACCTCCCCGGCGTAGTGGACGTCAACGAAAACCGGTCGAGTTTCTCACTATGGAGGCGTTCAACCCTCCAAAGAGTTCTAAGAAAAAGGCACTTGTTGTCAAAAAGGCCTCAACAGAATTTGGCAAAGAGAGGCGTGGAAGCAAGAGTTTTCCCGCAGTAGAGAATGGCGTCTCCAAGTCAGTGACCAAGAAGAAGCGACATCGGCGTGGCCGTGGCAGAAAAAAGTCCAAACGGCGAAAGGGCTCTCAGCCCTGGATGTGCTCTCCCTCTCAATCTGAAGGCGAGGATGTCCTGGAGGCTGATTTTGAGCTTCAGGACAGTAATGCGGAAGATGATTCCCCCCAAAGCTCGCCTTCATCCCGCGCTAGGGATTGGCTAGACGAGGTGGAGAGTGATTTTGACGTCAATGCCTGCCTGGATGGGGAGGATGCATTGACTGTGAAAATGGGACGCAACATGGAACGGCAGAAGCGACGTTCCACCACAGCCACCGCTGCCGAGGTCGCAGCGACCGAAATGTGTGATGATGACACTCCCTGCCAGGTCTGCGCCAAGTTCGGCTCTCCCGAATGGTTATTACTGTGTGATCAGTGTGACCTTGGTTTCCACGCCATGTGTCTGCGTCCAGAACTGCACTTCATCCCCGAGGGCGACTGGTTCTGTCCACGCTGTCTGCACGCCCGCCTCCTCACCGATGTAGCCGCGCGCCTTGAGGAGCTACGTGTAAATAAGGCCAAACTGGAGGCCACTTCTCGTATGCAGGAGAGACTGAACTTTGTCAATGTCAGCGTCACTAACATCATTAACGAGGACAATCGTAGAGCCAAGGAGGCTGCTCGTCAAGCCTCGCGTTGGTACCTCGATTCGTCTGGGGAGGACGATGAAGAAGATGGCGAGAGTCGATCCAGCAGTGATGCAGGTTCTTTCATTAACGAGGAGAGTGATGCTGGTCGACGGCAGCGCTCTCGGCGCAACCTCCGTCATCGTCGCACGACTCACTCCCGAGCAGCAGCCAAGCGACGCCGTGTGTCCCCCGACTCAGATGCCTCCTCAGACTCCGCTTCCTACTCCTCCTCTTCTTCTTGTGAAGATAGTCCAGCCCCTGTTCGTGCAGCCCGACAGCGCGTCACTGCCCAGTACGATGTGAACGCGGCGTTCAAGCAGTTAGATGTTCTGCTGGACGCTGATGAGAAATATGCGTCTATTAAGCAGGCTCGTAAGGAACGGCAGAGTAGGAAGCACATCCCCGCAACAGATGGTGCGGAAGAGGGGCAGGAAGTTGCCAGTTCTGGCGAAGGTTCAGTCGAAGATTCATGCCTCACCGGTCGTCGACCAAAACCAAAAGTACTCTCCTCTTCCGATTCAGAAGAGTCTGCTTCTGGGGATGGTAGTCATACTGCTAGGAGGCGACGAAATAGGCGTTCCGGCAGCGAGGAATTTCGTCCGGATGAGGAGGAAGAAGAAAGCAACTCCTCCATCAGTGAAGAGGGAACTTCGTCTTCCAGCACTCCGTCGTCCGATAACTGGTTGTCTAGCCGTCGTGCTCGCCGGTCAAATGCCAGAAGGAACGGACGCAGTCGGAACAGACCTCGTCGACCGATTCCACGCTTCGAGGAGGACTCGATAGGTAGCGAAGACGAGATTAAGCCGACGCGGCGGTAAGTAATGATTATTTGCCTTATGACCTCCCATTACATCATGTTCGCGGTTATGGCTCCTGTAGTTTGAACCTCCGCCTGCCATGCTATGGGTCAATCAGTGTCAGCACCGTTGTGGATCTCGGAATGTTTTCCTCTGCTAGTTAGACTAACCTAAATCAGCAACCTTCGCCCACTGGTGTTTGACAATTGCTTTGTCTAGTAAAATTGAGGAAACTTGCCAGCTTATCGTCAGCTGACAGCGATATCCGCTGACTGCTAGTCTGCCCCCACCTTTCGCCGGTCAGACTCTGCTCTGCGGTACTGAACATGACCAAAGGTACAAGATCTGGCCTATCTCATGAAATGTTAACCGAAATTCTGAAATGTGTTTTCAATTAGAAGGGATTACCGAGGGGAGATCGTAATGTTTATTATCCCGCAGCACAATCCCAAAATATTTCGGTCACGCTAGGATGCCGGCCTTCGAATGGGTTTCTTTCCAGCCGTCTACGAGTGGCAAAATGGCTGCTTAAGTAACGTGAAATTTTCCCGCTGATTTTCGGTACCCTTGTAAATTCGAACGCATTTTGTAGAAAAAAAAACACCAGACTTCTTTCTTGTTCTCATTTGGTAGTAACTTACGTCTTATTCGGATTTTAGGCATTATACTAATCTTCGGTCTTAAAAAGTTTGTAATTATGAGATTTTCTAAGATCATGAAGTGTCCATTCAAATAACATCAGATCTGTCCGGCTGTTAATGCTCCTTTTGAGGTGTACAACACGGTCTACATCCATTGCAAAATTTTACTAGCCCTATTTGACGTATTCCTAAAGGCTAATGCATGACTTTCGTTGCATGGAAAATATGCAGCTTGTAGGTTGGAAACCTTCAGCGCAAGTGCGACTGCGGGTCGGTTCCAAAATTTTTCGGGAATTGTAAAACTTTTTTAAAAATCGAAAGATACCCTTTCTGGGGTATACAACTAAAACCAGACATAAGTTGGTGTCATTTGAGTGCAAAAGTAATATTTTTGCATGTTTTTATAAAACATTTTTGTTTATAAGAGTACACAAAATCGGTGAAAAATGCACACAACTTAGTAGTTGATTTATCGAATGTGGTTTTTTCAGGCGGCCAAAACGAAGCCCATTTGAAAGTCGGCATCCTAGCCTGACTGAAATATCTTGGGATTCTGCTGCACAATAATCGATATTACAACCCTGTCTAAGTTATCCTTTCCAATCGAAAGCACACCTCGGAACTTCGGTTAATATTTCATGAGATAGATCTGATACTGTAGTCGGCTGCCAGACAATTAGAGGCGTAAGTACTGATAAATAGCAATGCCATTGAAAGGGTTGTAGACATGAGTCAATGCTGCAATGCATATCAGGATTGGCAGGAATTGCTTCTGTTTGAAACCATTTCCAGTCAGGCATTGCCCTAAAGAATCGCCCTTCTACCGCCCGTCTTGTCGATTTTCTCCGGTACTGTTTTTTAAGCAGTGTCTTGTGTCAGAAACAAGGGAGCGAAATTCCTTCCTTTTTCTAACTATCCCCCGCCAATTGGCTTGCGCGCCGATTCAGAGCCAATATCCAGCATGGCGATCCAGTGTTCCATAATATCATAGTTATCGGCTTTCGTAGTTCCTTTTAATCCAGTTTGACTGCATTACTTACCTAAAATTCTGACTAAGCGTTGTATACTGTCAGTATTTGGCAGTAATTCTTTCTAATCCTCCGTAGGTATATAACCGTTTCCCATGACGACGACAGCCTAACAAACATGCATATGCGCATCGTCCGGGGCTACGCTTTGGGCCTGTCTGACTGCGTTCAATTGCTTTCCATTAGAATGGAATACTACATATTAGCCGCCCTTGAGCACTGGTAAAATGCTAGGAAAATCAGTCATTTATCCTTTTCACTTTAACCTGCGCCTCTTCATTTGTTCAAGACGGGCCGCCAGACGTGTCAACTACAAAGAGCCCGACAGTGAGGAATATGAGGAGGAGCCTACTGTCGACGGAGAAAGAAGTGCAGTCTTTGAAAACTCCCCAGCGCGCACGCCACCGCAGTCTTCGGTTTCTGGTCGAGTACGTCGCATCCTCTCAGACAGCGAATACGAACCCTCGACGTCAGAGAGTCCAGACGACGGGGACGGCCCAGAGGTCGGGGAGGAGAGCGTTGTGCAGGGAAATCACATGCGACTGAAGCCTTCGCAGGGGGTCCTACCCAATACCAACCAGCCGTCGCCTGCGTCCTCCCAACGTGAGCTCTTTTCATGCGACGAGGATAGCGGTCGTGGAGTAGGCAGTGGGGGTCTGGCTGATGCACCCGGTTTGTCGCCGAAGCCCTGCAAAACATTATCTGCAAGTCCCCTTCCCTCACCCGTGTTTGAAGGGTCTGAAACATCATCTCAGCGACTGCAAGCGCCTCTTGGAAGTCCCCATTTTTAACCACCATAACTCTATTGTCTCATTTCTCCGTGCAATTTGCCTGTATGTTGTTCCTCCCCTCCACTATGCTTGCATACCAGTTTTTGTACTCGCTCCCTTACCCGATTGCCTCGTGTACAGAAATGTAAGTAACTTCTTCCCCTTTTTTAATGCGAATAAAAAGGTGTGTTCTCTTGTATCCTGTTCGTTCCGTCTAATGTGTTATAGGAACAGTGGCCTGAGAAAAACATTGGTCTGGGTCAGAATTCTGGACCTCATGGGTTTGATTTTAATCACTTTTACCGTCTATTTGAGGGAGCTCACGACTGTTTGATCGGAGGCTGAAGGGCTAGACTGCGGCTTAAGCGGCGCGGGTGTCGAATATTAGACGCATTCTCTCGGCCGCACCACCAGCTACGCACGAAGTACTTATGCTAGGGAGTTAGCCTCTGCGGTGTTTCCCCAACAAACACAAACAAAGACTGTCTTTAACCTCCGGGTGCTTATAATAGACAACCAAAGTCGTGAAGCATTGCAATTCTAAAGCATAATTCCTTCTACAAAGGGATTGCAGCACTGGTTAGTATGCCACAGAATTTCAGTATTTCGCACACGTTAGGATGTTGGCCTTTGGACGGAAAGCTGCAAAATTCCACGCGCTGGGAAGTGGCTATTCGAGTATTGCGCTAGGTTTCTGTCGGATTTTGGTGCTTGTTCAGATTCGAGCGTATTTTGCAGAAATTGTGAACTTGTGAGCCCCTCTTGCGCTCATTCTGTTGGAAACTTTCTTTAAACTGCATATTTAGTAAGGGGATGCCGTTCGGTCTCAAAAGGTCAGCAGTTAGAAGTTTTGAGAGTAAAATAATTATTCATATAAAATTCTGCCTCTGGGAGCATTAACGTCGCGTTTCGAATGCGCGATGTGATTCATGTCTGCAGCAAAATATCGTGGTTACTAGGTGATATTCTCTTGACAGCGTAAGTTGATATCCGATTTTTCTCAAATGAAAAGTTGACAGCAGGTAGTATGGGAGCCCTAAGCTCAAGTAAAATCAGAGAATTGAATCCATAATAATGGGAATAGGCAAACTCTTGAAACCGAACACGATTTAAACAAGTTGCCTCTAAAAGTGAATGTGGAAAGATGATTTCGTGCAGAGTCAGAGGAGGAATCGCGCACTGCCTGGCCATTTTGGTGGTTGGAAGTACGCTCATGCAAGTGCCAGCATCTTCTCATTCATTTACAACAGATGAGCTGTCTCATGGAATGTTGACCGATATCCTGAAATATATTTTTGATTCGAAAAAAATTACGTAAGTGGGGTTATAGTAGCAGTTGCTTTGCTACATTGCCACAATATATTCCAGTCACGCCAGAATGTCGGCTTTCTAATGAACTTCTTTTCGGCTGTCTGCAAAGGCTGTACTCCATGAAAAAAACTACTTAGGCAGTAGGAATATTGTTCCCATTGATTTTTGATGTCCTCATAAACTGAATTGTTTTATAGAAGACGTCCACAAAAATCTTCCCTTCGTAACCCTTTGGTAGTAAATTATGTCTTCTTCGGATTTACTACTCAAAGAGAGGACATTTTTCAGTTTTTTGTAACTTTTTCTCGATTCCCGAATAATTTCGATCCCGACATACCGTTACACTTGCATTCAGGGTTTCCAGGAATGTCACGCATTTCTCCGTGCTGTAAGGTAGACGTCATATAGCACTCATAAAATTTTTCTGTGGATGTGGATCAGGTTATATACTATATGATAGGTATTAATAAACGTACTGATGCTATACTGTAAGAATGAACACTTCACGTTCTTAAAAAGTCTTACATTTAGAAATTTTTTAAATCTTGGGGTAAAAAATTCGAATATGTAATCTGCTACCTAAGGAGTACAGGGAAGAATATTTTTCTGCACATTTTCTATAAAACATTATTGAATTTACGAAGGCCTCGAAAATCAGACCGAAACCAAGCCCAGTCAAAAGCCGGCATCCTGGTGTGACTCAAATATCTTAAGAATTTTCTGCACGATAATTAACACCACGAGCCTACTGAAGTAATCTTTCCGAATTGAAAACACATTATAGAACGTTGGTTAACACCTACTGTGTCATGTTGATCAGCACTGCAACCTCACGTACTTAGCTCCTTCTAAATGCGCTCATCTATTTCAGTCGATGTTTCGTGAGCCTGGACACCTGCCGAGTCTCACTGTTTGTCAGAATCGAGTGTCGTAAGGTCTGCTCCTTACTACTGTGCGGACGCTTCGCCAATGTGAGGGTTGACGCCACTTCACTGGCTGTTAGCATTCCTATCCGATGGTTCACCGTCGCATCCGACGATGTCCACCGTGTGCTCCATAACAAGGTGAAGCAAGCAGGGTGACTTGGGCGTGAAGTAACCCATAGTGGGAGTAGACTTGCGCAGCATCTACCGCATTCTCTCCTCCTCCCCAGCTGGACCCGGTGTCAAGACAGAGTCAATAAGACCGGAGGCGGGGACGGCGCAGGTTGATGGCGCGGCCGAACCCGCACCTTTGCGCTCTACTCCACACCGCCTTGTGCACAAAAGACATTCTACCCGGATTTTGACCAGCAACAACAAAAACAGAATGGACGTCGATGACTGGGCAACTATGCACACGACCTGTATAGCCAGCGGGAGCGCAAGCGCATCTACCACCAGAGGACTGTCAGCGCGCACCAGGCTGCGAGAGCCATGGTTTGCTGATCATTGCATAGCATCTCCGTCAAACTCAGCAAGAACTACGTGGATCTTTACTATAATTAGAAGGGTCGTGTCGCATATAGCCCGCACTTTTTCCGTACACATCTTCCTTCGCAAGAATGGGCGGGTTCGGACTCAGTAGTTAAGCAGGCATTCACTCCAATTATCGTGGGTGGACGCCTGGGTGGATAGCCCAGGCTGTCCGCCAACAGGCCGATGACATGGAAGCAAGGGCAGCCACCTCACTGGATTTACAGTCTCGCTAAATGTTGAAATGCGGGATGTGGCCATTCAACTCTGGTCCCGTGTAGTACCCAGCTCTCAGCTACGACTGTAGGAAGGTGTGCCGAACTCAGTGGTCGTATTGGCAACCACCTCGACTGTAGGGCGAAATCAGACAAAAACTCTGGTCTCCGCACGTCGTGACTTTGAGTGCAGGTCAATTGTAGCGAGGACGCTGCCGTGCCGTGACGCGTAAGCTGGAGCGTACTGAAAAGTTGATCACTTCGCCCAACCCTCGGTGAAACTGACCATATCTTGCCGCCGGTACCCTGCGGCACTGGTAATAGTGATTTCGCCTTTGCGCCAGTCTTTACCACTCATCCAAAATGACACAAAAGTTTCCACTACTTCTCACTGGATTGGTTTTCGTTATGGCTGGCGAACGAACTATCAAACCAGCATCGCAGATTATCTTCTGTCGCAGAATTATGAAATGAATCAGGCAGCAGCGGATTTCGACCGACAGCCAAACTGGGCGTGCCTCGCAGACCCAGCAGGCACTATGTTGAGAGCTTGTGCATAACAAATTTTACGATTTTAGCTGGAGGTTTCCTTGTACAACCCAACGACACCACTACAGTCAGCAGTTCCTGTCATCCGGAACTCCAATGAAATGACTGAACACTTTAGTCAGATAAATGGACGGAAAAATATAGATTCCCTGGGAAGCGAACACTATTAAGAATAGTAGATGAGAAATGTAAGACAAAACAGAAGGGTCATATTTCTTGTTGCAGTCGAATAGGTGAAGTTCCACCTCCACATGACTTTGACCGCTCCCTATGGTCCGTCGCTCAAGAGGTGGAGTACCTGCACTTGCACTTGGTACGGCTGCCATCATGGTTGATCTAGCCGGCCTTAATGATGTCCCGAACTGTACCTCTTCACGCGTGACGATCCGCGGCAGCAGATCTGGACAGTTCAGCCCATTATCTTCGCCAACGACGGAGATCGAATACCGAAGGTCCAAGAACCACCTCCACGTCCTGACGAACCGTATCGAGTCAGATTTTGACTTGACCCCCATCTTCGATGTTTTCAATGGGGTAACGTTGCCGGAGCGAGGGCAGGAACACTGAGCTCCTGAGGTTGACGACGAAGAACATGTTCAAACCACTTCAGTCATCTCTCTTGGAGTGTCTGTTTCATCCTTGCGATGTTGTCGCAGCAAGTGCGAACCGTCTCATTTGAGACGAAGTCAGTGTACTTTACTCGGAGGACGGTCCTCAAGCAGCGGTTGTCAAACACCTCCATTTCTCGTTCGTCCTTCACGCGCCCAGTCCAGCATTCTCAACCATAGAGAAAGACAGAACGGACAGACGCACGGTGCACGCGAATCTTGGTGGCGATGGAGAGGTCGCGTCGGATGCATATGCATTTTATAAGGCTTAAGAAGAGCCCCGAACAGCGTCAATTCGGGAGACAGTGTCGTCCTTACACTGTCCATTCGGCCGCAGCCTCATCCCGAGGTATTCAAGTTGACAGCCATCAATTCCGAGAGGTGCCTTCTCCCGGTAAGGGATGCAGATTAAAAGCACTTTAGTCTTCCCAGCTTTTATGGATAAACCGACCGATTTAGCGACCTCGTTCACCCGTGCCACCATAGATGCAGACCGCCAAAACTTAAAGCGGGTACGGCAATAGCATCGGCATAATCGATATCAGTCAGTCGGTGTCCGGGTGCAAACTCAACACCAGCACCTTCGTGTAGAGCCCTGCCAAGAATCCAGTCAATGGTGTAGTTGAAGAGGATAGACGCCAGGATACAACCCTGTCGAACACCAGACCGAATACCAAATGGCTGGGAAAGATTTTCGTGGATCAGTGGTCGCGCAGCGATGGAGAGGTAACAGGCCTTGATCATGGCGATGATTTTTGGCGGTACACAGTCTGGTGCCATTATTTGCCACAGGGACCCACGATGGACGGAATAGAACGTGGCGGCATCAACAAAGCAGATGGTCGTCGGTTGCTGGTACCTATGGCAGAGTTCGAGAATGCCCCTCAGTGTGAATACCTGGCCCGTACATCTACGTCCAGCACGAAACCCCGCTTGGTTGGGCCTCGTCCTGGAGTCACGCACAGCCTGGAATCGCCTGAGTAGGGCAATAGCGAAGATTTTCGCAGCAAAGTCGATGAGACTTATGCCGTAGTGGTCCTCGCATCTTGTCTTGTCTCCCTTCTTGAGGATAGACACAAGGATGCCTGAGCCCCAACCCTCAGAAGCAACCGCGTCTCCCCACGCTCCTTCCATCACCTCATGGAGCCAGGGCGCCAGAGTGTTGACACAAGACTTGTCGATTTCAGTGAGTATACCGTCCTCTCTGAGTGTCTTGTTGTTGCGTAGCTTTCATACGGCATCGGCGACTTCTCATTCAGAAGGGGGATGGCATAAAAACTGCATAGGCTGGAGAGGGGAGAAACTAAGTTGCAGGGGAGAACAAGGGCATGGTGAGTTGGGCACCGGAGTTGATATGGTACTCGAAGTGTTCGCGCCAGCGCTCGACTTTGGCCAAGTTGTCGGCAATAAGGCCGTCATTCGCGTCGCGAACAGTCACTCAGTGCAGAGCTCTTACTACCGACTTGGCGGATAAGTTGGTAGAGCTTTCGAGTGTCACCAACGTTCGAGGCCTGTTCCATGGAGGTCGCTATTTCAGCCCAATATTGCTTCCGGTCATCCCTGGTTGATTTTGCCGTCATCTTCCGAAGTTGGCGGAAGTAGTCATCGTTGCGGGACCTGGCTCTAGCCGTCTGAGCAGACAAATGCAGGGTTCTTCCGCTGATCCAGTCACTGCGGCGTCGCTGGGTGTATCCAAGGCTTTTCTCAGCTGCCCCATAGACTGAAGTCTTCGGTGACGACCACTGGCTACTGACTTCTCCGTCGACTCGGGTCGTAAAACAGGTCCGGATTTCTCTGCTTAGGGCCTCGGCAGTGCGGGTTTGCCGGATGTTTGCGACGTCGAGGCGTCTAGGATGTGACACTTTTGTGCGCGGATGAGAGGTGAACTTACAAGCGCGTGCGAACGAGGACATGGCCCGGCCCATGGGCGCTACCAGTCTCGGCACCAGGCATCATTCTGCTATCGTGAACCCAGCTGCAGAACCTTGAGATGACTAGACGGTAAGCAATCGGGTTAGCCGTACGACCGTCTTTTAAATACCGGGTCAGTAGATGTTTGTTTCGATGCTGAGAGCACGTGTTGGTGACAAGCAGTCAGTTTCGATCAGTGAATTTCAGCAATTTCTCACCATTTTCACATTAAGAGCCAAGCCCAAAGCGGCCAATAAGATGACTGTTTGTGGACTCGCCAGGTTCAGTGCAACCATTCCAAACCCCGGCAACAATCGGCAGATCGCGGTAGGGTCTGTCAACTAACGCTTGCAGCTGCGAGTAAGACGTTGCGTTATCGCGCTGTTCGGCAGCTGACGTCGGTGCGTACACAGAGACGGTGCAGATGTTTGTGAAGTGACCCTTAAGTCGCATGTAGGCCATCCGGTCATTGACTGGTTCCTAATCAAGTAACGCGAGGTCCGCTTGTTGCAAGAGGTTGACCGGCACACCGTGTCTACCAGAAGAGTCATGTGGGCCGCTGTGGTACAGGGTAAAGCGTACGCCGACTCCATGGATATTTACTTCCCTAGAGCCTGAATCAGGAAGTCGAACTTCAGACAGGCAGCGAACATCCACGTTGTACTGATCAAGGCTGCGTGCGGTCAGATTTTGGGTACCAGGGTCCACGTACCCTGGCACAATCCGGCGTCCAATACCTAGGGTCCATCACCAACTAAGTAGTACAGCTCGCATACCATTCGCCCGCACCATTTGGCGAGGGTTGCGGAGCGCGTGGTACCCGCGGACGCCGTAACATGCGTCGTAATACTGTAGTCAGGCATATTTCATGAGGTTTCTTGGGAATTTTTAGTACAGGCGGGTCCCCAACAGCCGTTCGAATTGTTTGTTTGAGATTGTTCCCTCTGGCGCTTTGGTTTAAAGACCGAACAAGGCAGCGGTGGCACGCAAACTTATTTAGTGGCGGTTCACGGTCGCCATGTCACAGTCGCGTCACCAGGCTTTGTGGTTTTTTTAAAAGGCTTTCAGCGTGCCAGTCCACAGCCCTTCGCACCCTGGTAACATTTTCGCTGCTGGTCCGCGACTGCTTATTCGTCAGACCTGGGTCTGCTTATTTCCCGGCTAACCTTCACGAAGGACAGTCCCACTATCCGCGCCTGTGGACACGCTGGGTATCCAGCAGCTAGGCTACCAGGCAACACGTCCTCCCGGGACTACCTGAACGGCGGCCTAGATCTCAGGTCAACCACGGCCCGATCACAGAGCTACAGCATGACTACCTCGTGTTCTGGGAGTGCATGCTTGTTTGATTCCCAACCTCGAACATCGAAGTACTGTCGTACTGTCCGTCATCGACTGGCACCACCGGCTACTCTTTATACAGTCTTTGTGAAATGACGATCAACCCGTTAGAACAGGAAACATGTCAATATGAGTAATCCCTCACTAACATCGCACATCCCAAAGGCTTAACGCCTATAAATGATGAATCAGCAAGACCGAAAACCATTGCTTGTATGCTCATAAGTAAACATTCTGTCTAGAAAATACTTTATCAAGGAGCCAAAAAATTAGAGCCGGATGGTAGCATATGTGTGTTGCAGGGCAGGCACAAACATCGGCCTTCGGCATAGGCCAGTCGTGAAATAAGGTTCTTGTTTTTGACGGACAGCCCATCACTGACCATGCAACTCTAAAACACCTGGACGTGGTTACTCACCAACCTGCAAAACCATAGACCCATAAGGTCATAAAATAGTGGTTGTATGACATGGTAAACGATGTTCACACAAGCCGGCTCGAACAAGACGCTTCGTCCGTGGCATATCTCATCCAGACTGTATCAAAATTTTCGAGTTATGATAGTTCGACCGTCGTTGCCGATGATGTCCACCGTGCGCTCAACAGAACAGTGAAGCCGACACTGTGACTTGCATGTGATTCAGCTTATAGTGAATGTAGACTTGCGAAGCATCTACCGCACTCTATTCTCCAGCCCGACCTGGACGCGGTGTCAAGACATAGTCAAGAAGATCAGAGACGGAGGAGGGCGCAGGCGGACTGCACGGTAGGGCCCGCATCCTGGCGCTCCACTCCACACTCCCTGGTGCACGCAGTAAATGACAGGCATTGTTGCCAACAACAACAATGAGGAGAACTGCAGGGGGTCCCAATGTGCGCGACTTCTGCCGGCAATTGGGTCTGCAGCCGCACTCTGAATGGTTGGCATCTGTTATAGATCGCAATCTGATAACGCCTGCCAGGATCCGACACGCCCCACCCGTGTCGGTCCGGCGCATCTACAATGTAGGAAGTTTGGGGGACAACATTCGAATTATAAAGTGTGATACACGTTACGCGTCCGTAGGAATCGACGCGTCAGAAGGCCAGTGGGTCGAACGTCAGACATTCGTCCGTAAAGATATCAAACCTGCGTCACCAGCTAGGATTTGCGAACTTTCAAGTACCCAAACGCAGTCCTCAACCGTTTTACAGCGACACCCTGGCAGTCACAATTGACTGGTTCTGCCACAACAGTAACAGACGCTGTAGAACCTGTGGTGTGTGATAACTCAGACAGGTATGATATCTTACCTGCGTCACACAAGACCAGCGAAATGCTCGTTACAGGAACCTGCTCGCCCGCACCACAAGCAGATGACCAAGGGGTGTAATTACCAGCACATGTGTGACTTCATGGGTCCTCAGATCCAACGCTTATGACAAGGTGTTCGGGACGCCACCGTAGTCTCACTCTCTAAAGCCATGTTAAAAGTGTGGCGGGTTAGAACGCACAGTAACAAAGCCGGCCCAACGACTCACTAGGTTTGGTGCAGCTGCTGGCTACACGAAACCCCCTGCTGGCTCGATAGCAAAATAATGGGAGGCTAGATAAGGTAACTTGACCCTCGAGTAAGGGTTGGACAACTTATGGTGGGGACGCAACGACTGGACTATTTTCGAGTAGTTCGACGGTCACTTGGCCGTAAGACGAGGGCACTTGCGGCCTTACTATCAAGACACAATAAGACTCGACCCCCTGCCGGCCAGTGGTTCTCAGACCAGGCCGCATCTTGGACAGTGGGGGTCGAGCCCCCAGAGACGACAGAAAACCGGCGGAACTTAACCGTGCGCATAGTCTGCCCGAGGGTGGCTGGGAAACCTACATCCACGCAACTGAGCCCTGAGTAAGCAGACACCAACGCCAACTCAGATGACCGGGCCGCTGTCAAAGTTACCTGCCTCCCAGGTCACTGTTACATGGCAATGAAACAGATATAGCAAGCGTCAGGAGACTCCAGTCAAGTGACTCAGCACCGTCTCGTCAACACGGTTCGTCATAAGAACATACAATTCGCCGAAATGTCACTACTGGCAGCTTAGATTACAAGGAGGAAATTGGTAAAACGGAGAATGGACGTCGGGAGAACCCAACGGCAACTACTAAACCTGCTGGATAGCAAGCACTATCCAGGTTCCCACGACTGACAAAAACCATTTGCCCTGACAATACTCAGAAAACGGGTAAGTGGGGCGGCAGGCGCTGAGCACCCGCCAGTGGAACACCCTGCACCCAACCGGGACGTGCGCGAGGGAACAGAGAATCCACTATAGCGACTGGTAACACTGGTTGTACTCGCAATGATCCCCACTGACATTTACATCAACACGCCTCCTACCCCATTTCGATCCACCTAGGCTCCATAACGGCTAGCGGCGTGTGGCGCAACCAGGTTCAATTGGCAGAGACCTTACGGGCAACCGAGTACGTGTGACGACCGCGTACGACTGATCGACCGTGGTTTCGTGCATCCTGATGCCCACGAGACAAGTGACTGAACTGTCGGCGCGTCAAAACAAGACACTGGCAGTGCCGAGAAACCTGACGGCGTCTGTTCTTCCAGAAGGTAGCAAGAACATCACGAAGGACCTGGGGTCGTCAGCATTCTGAGATAACTGGGTCAGATTGTTAAATCTAACGTCGAGTCCAGAGCGCATCCTAGTACCCGACATGACCACATAGCACAGGCTTTAATAAACGGTTCGTAATCCCAATCTCTAGGGCGCACAACCATGAAAAGGGTCTAACTGAGCAGAATGAACCGGAGACCTGGCACTCGTAAGAAACCCGGCTACAAGTAGAATTGTCGACATTTCCTTCAAAAGAACTTGGCCGTGAAAAAAAGCGCCAAGACTGCCTGACCGGCAACGTCGGCGTACACCTAAAAGGCAACACCTGATAGTGGCATTTAACCGAAGATAACTTTAGTAAAATTAGTGTTTACCTATGGCGCGATAAATAATCGACCTACCCACCCATATCCAGAACAGAGGAGCGGTGTAAAACGAAAGATACACATAACTGGACTCCCAGGTGACAACCCCGTTGTTTGTGTAACGGACATCTACGTCTGTCAAGTGGGAGACTAAAGCGCACGGAACCCTGTAATGAAACAGTAACTCCCGCTGAGTGACACTTGGGAGGAATTTAAAGCGGATAAGAGATGCGCGCTAAAATAAGCATGAGCAGTGTTGTCCGAAGAACCTGGTAGAGATAACGTCACAGGAGCGTCGTCTAAAAAAGGGTCCAGAAAACCGACCACCGAGACAACCAACTCTCCGCCACGAAAAAAGGCAAAACCAGCGAACAGTGCTGGAGTGTTTTATTGAATGTCAAAGAACGAGTATGACGGTGTGATGACAACCTGACCGAATAGCCAGTACCTGAAATTTGTGCAGCTCAGTCAGCAGACTGGACGACTAGCTACAGCGGGTCACGATGGGAAGAAGCGAAGTTGCAGTTCTTTAACTAGCGTCCTACTGAGACGCGCATTGCACACGTTGAGGACCAGGCCCGTCAGACTCATCGTCCATATAAGCTTCGCGGTGACTCGCCGAAGGCCTGTTAAAGTCTCTTTGAGGGTCGAATTCAACCATCGTGCACGGCTCAGCATCGTCGGGGACAATAACGTCCACAGGCCGTGGGAGGATTTGTCGCAGTTTTTCACAGTCCCGAGGGTTCAGTGAAGAGGGGAATTCAACTGTGAACTTGATGATGAGGGACCCTTTATCAAAAGGGTTTCTGTATCGCGGCATACCCTCACCGTGTATGGCGCGGAAGTCACCGACCTTGATGATTTCACCCGGTGATGTTTCTATCAGCAGGCATCTGTCATCAAGTGTCTTGATGGTGCGGCGGAAGCCGGTAAGAGCTTCGTTGAGTGAAAGGTCCATTGAGTAGATTAAATCTGCTTTCCTCCTATGGAAACGCTCGTGCGGCTGTTCGTCAATAGCAATCACAATATCTCCCGGTTCGATTCCAGGTTCCTGATCGCCTTCGCCGCTAAATCGTATAGTTTGATTATCCTACAAAACGTTAGCGAGGATATAGTGCCTACCGCCATGCCTTTCTCAATATCCACCTTAAGGAGCTTCTTCTCACGAACGACTTTCTTCCCCATACATGCGGTACAACGATCTTTAGGGTCGATAATCTCCTTGTTGCCGTGACAGACTGAGCAGATGCTTTGCGACTGCTGAAACATCCCAGGGCCCATTTGTAGCATGTGAATTTCCACACCGCGACCCTTGCATGTGCGGCAAGGCTGTACAGCACCAGGTTTCCCACCCCGACCTACAAAGTGGATAATGACCTAACGCTCGTACCTTCGCACTTGCTGCAGATGACGTTCTTGGTGACGTTGAACTTTCGAGTTGCCCCATTGTAAAGTTCTTCTAATGTTACACTTAGGGGGTGAACCGTGTCTCGGCCACGATGAGGCTGCCTAGACCTGCCACCACCGAAGAACATATCAAATATGTCCATGGGGTTGTGGAAACCACTGAAGCCATCTGTCCCACCCTCTTTCACAGCCTGTTCACCACCTTCGTCATATATCTGGCGCTTTTTTGGATCCGACAGGACTTCAAATGCATGTGCTATTTCTTTAAACTGATCAGATTACTGAAAATAAGAAACGCCCACCTTGTCTGGGTCACCTCCCTTGTCCGGATGGTGCTTCAAGGCAAGTTTCTTGAAAGCTTTTTTTATATCGGACGCTGGGGCGTCGGGCGAAACGCCCAGGACGTCATAAAAACGCCGTTCCTTGACCATCACACCGCCGACAAACTACAGTCAACTCCGCTTCGAACGGTGAAAGTGGAAGCTTCCAGAGTGCGTAGGTAGTTAAAACAAACGCAGTGTAACTTCCTGTCGACAAAGTTTGTGTGTAGTCTTCAAAAATCAGATAGCTATAAGAAGGAATTTACTCAAGCTTGGGAGACTGTTGCTACATTTTTAAGAATCTACATCTTATGTATCACTACGGCATTCTCGAATGGTTCCACCCCCACTTTGGACAGTTCCACAAAAGGTACTGAATTTATTCAGAGCCCTTGATAAGAGTCCATCGATTTCTGGCAAGTTATGTCGCTTTTTGTAACGTTCTACTGAGTCATTAGGTTTAATATAAGCACTTGGGTGGTAACTGACCATCGTTCAGGAGGAGGTTAGTAAAGCAGCAAGTATAGTCACGAATGATATCAAGGCAACGTTTGCACCAAAATTTTTGGGTCTAAAAACTTTACACGTGCGAAGGAATGAGAAACGGACAGCTCAATAGCAGGACAGGAAAAATTGACAGAAGGATATAATAACGGTGCTGCAAGACGCTAATACTACTTTAGAAGTAACCAGCACTCTTTAAAGGACAATGCATACTTTAGAAATTAAGCATTCACCTTTTAGAATTTCACAGCATAAGAGTGTTGTTTATGTTTACTTGTAAATTTGCACCTTTTGATGATAAACGGTATAAAAAATATTTGCTCCCTTTTATCGTAAGCGAGTTTCGTAACGCTTTTGGTGATTTGTTGGTTCCGATGAGGTTGGCGTTCACTTATTTATCTTGAGTACAGGACAAAATTGGTCGGCCCCATTTTGCGTTACAGTTGCGGGTTTAGAACCTGTCTGGGCTGCTGCGAAGCTAAGTGCAATAAACTACCCATACGTGCTATTAACACTGTCAATTAACCGGAACTTATAAATTGCTTCAGTCGCTGCGTCACAACCTGAAAATGACGTAAACACGCTGATTTTGGTAAAAACGGCAGATGCTCACTTCCATCCTGTAAACAGGATGGGTTGTTGAGCACCACTATCATGTGACTGAACAATTTCCATATGCCCTTTTAGAAACTCAGCCCAGTTTCATTGGTTATGAGAATTAAATTAACCACTGGGCTCAGTTTAAGACGTAAGATGCGTCAACAACTGGCACCTACGCCGTGCCAGGAATAAAGTTATCATTTTCCCATGAGAATCGGAACAAAAGGATATGCGGCTTTACGAACGGTAAATGAAAGTCACCCACTGACCCTCTGATAGCCAATCAAATCGCCAAAGCGCTACTTATTGGTTCTCGCATGAAATCTATTAACTCAAGTCCACACCACCTTAACGAACAAACCCGCAGGCATGCCCGGCGCCGGCCACTTGTCTGTACATTATATCATAATACTGGTGTCTTTGGTAGAGGGGCGTTCACCGATCGTTCTTACGGAAATCACTCGTTCCGTTGTGCCTTACGGGGTCTCTTTCGAGCCCAACCAGCAGCCGCATAGCGGCGCATGATGTAGGCAGAATGTTGTTATCGACCAGTCCCCCTTGTCTTTTTCGGTAATAACATATTGGTTTGCATCATCATCATCATCATCATCATCATCTTCATCATCATCATCATCAGCAGCAGCAGCAGCAGCAGCAGCAGCAGCAGCATCATCATCATCATCTTCTTCTTCTTCTTCTTCTTGAAGGCAGGACTTGCCCATGATCATTGCTGCTTACGGAGCTCACTCACTAATCAGTAGCCAATAGCGCATAACCGGATAACGGACGCCTAATTTTCCTATTATTATTATTGTATTTAATGAAAACTTGCAGGCAATCTCAAAGAAAGATAATGATTCAGGTGACTGGTAAAATAAATGAGCCAGGATTTTTGATTGTGTCAGCATCATCAGCACGGCAACACCGCACCTATCGCCAGTGCCTGCACCTACGCACCAGCAACAGACTGCTTTAGCAGACTTCCTAGCCTTGATTTGTGTCGCTGCAATTCTGTTCGTATCACACTTCTGGTCAAAAGAAGAGGGGGTGTTCACCGGGAGGGGTTTATTTGAGGTCCGACGTTTCGAGTAGTTTATGCGTCTACCCATCTTCAGAGACTGGGAAGTCCTGTGCACAGCTCCCCTTATAATGGCGTCCTTTGTTCAATGAGTGATCCACTAATGCCGCTTGTGTGGCTGCATCCAACCCGCATGTCACCGTGACCTGAATCGTCCCCGTCGGCCGCGGAGATGACTGATGGCTCCGATTGTCCCGCACCGTGACTGTCGCCCACTAAGAAGGTTCGTAAAGTCAGATAGGGGGGAGGCAAATTAATGTGGCGGTTGACAGAGCGTTCGGTGGACATCCAGGCTACTTGCACTTGCCTTGCTGTGTGATCGCCGCCCCGGCCCACAATCTCAACGGCGTCAAAGTTGAAGATGTGTCCCACTTGCGCGGCATGGGTTGCTACCTCCGACTTTGGGTCCAACCTTCCCACGGCCAACTTATGCCCGTGCATTCGCGTTTGCGTCTTCAACTTTTACCCCTTTAAACAAGGAAGAAAATGGGTCCCAGTACTAAACCCTGGGGGACACCACTCTTGACCATAGCAGGGTCTGATTTTCCCCGGCCGATGCAAACAATCTGGTGTCGACCCAAAAGGAAGTTTTCGATCCATTTAAGGAAGTTGCCACTGATCCCTATTTTGTTAATTTTATGTAGGAACCTCTGCTGTGGCACAGTGTCGAACGCCTTCTGGAAGTCGATGAAGGCTATGTGGACCTCGTGCCTGTCGTCGAGAGCATGGGTCCAGCTCTGTAGAGATTGCAGCAAGTTTGTCGTGCAGGATCTTCCCTTCCGGAACCCCTGTTGGCATTTCGATAGTAGGCGGTGAACTTCCTGGAATAGCATCAGTTCCCTCTTTATGATCCTTTTCATAACTTTGCAGAGAATGCATGTCAAGCTTATGGGCCTGTAATTTGTCGTTGCTGCCCTGTTGCCTCCTTTGTGTAGCGGAGTAATATGCGCCAGCTTCCAATCGATAGGAAGTGTTCCAGTGTCGAATGACGTTTGAAAGAGCATCTACAAAGGCACAGAAAGCTCACTGGCAAGTTCCTTGAGAAGCTTGGGTGGAAACTCGTCTGGTCCTGGTGACTTCGATTCGTTCAATGCCTACAATTCTCTTCGGACAATGCCTTCCGAGAAGAGTATATCGCTGACTCTTGGGGCCGACAGTCCTTCTGTGGAGGTAGGAATGAACCTTGCCTCGTTTGTGTAGACTGATTGGAAAAACTGTGAAAAATACGCAGCTTTATCCCTACTATCAGCAATCTCAACGCCATCAGTAGTCCGTATTAAGTGGATTTGATGCCTGTTCCTTGTACTTCATCGGAGGTAACTGTAGAGTAATCTTGGGTTCTGCGTTGCTTTTTGTAGCAAGTTCTTCTCGAATTCCCGTCGCGTTTTCATGATCAGGTTCCACAGTTTGTTTCTCTGTGTCTTGTATGTGTTTAAATATTCAGCTTGCTCAGTGAAGCAGTATTTTCTC